TTTCAATCCGCCATTTTTACAAATGCCCAGCATGGTTTACCCAAAATATGTGCAGGTCAAGGCCGGGAGTAACATCAATGCTTTCACCAAGTAAATGTTTGATCCAAGGCACTACCTCTGATGTGTATCCATACTGTGTATTATATTGAAAGTGTTGCTGTATGTTTATCCCTATAGCCCCACACAGAAAACCAACATGTAATACACCTGAAACAAAAAAAAGAGGTTGTTCTATTTAGCCACACCTATCTTTTCAATTACATAATAAAGATCATAAAGAGCATATTTACCTATGTTTATTTTACGAAAGTTAAAAATTAAATAATAAGTAACACACTCTAACTTTCCCAAGACACCACTCTTATAAAGAGATTTTTGTCTTTAGTTGCAACTTTAAATTCAATCTGATTATTTCAAGCAATTAAGTGTCACAGTTAAAACACAATGCATATGTGAACAATTAAATTCCCAAACCTGAAGCATATGCAAACAAAACTAGAACTATCACTTAATGTGATTAATATCCCTGCAAGACTGCTTTGGAAATGAGCAAGTTACTAGTAACAGAATAACTTGTAAAACAATTGAAATAGAGTTATTTGTGGGCAATTAAAGATAGTTGTGGTTCTTGTATGTTGCATTTCCTTTCACTGTGGTTGACCATTGATAAAGTTTTATTGAATTACTCTGTAATAAGTCCAAAAGGTTACAGTTATTGTGCCGCTGCCTTTCCCCTCTCATTGCCTGGCCTTGACCAAATTGTATGAAGTTGTTTTCGAATTCCAACCAGTAGTTTCAAGATGCTCCGGGGACAAGGAAAAAGAAAACAAAGGGCCCAATAACTTCTAATTTTTCAAGATTTATTAGAGTTCTGGGTTCTTTTGCACCTGCACCTTTACCTCTTCCAATGTTGCTTTGACCATTTGCATGAAGTTTTGTATTGTATTCCAAAACCATTTAGTCTTCCCAAGTACAGTTAAAGACTGTCTTAATGACCCCCTTATATAGCCGACGTTTCTGTCTTTGTTGGACCCATATTAGGTGCGCCGAACAGATTTACCATACCAAATGGTATGTATGTAGCGACCCCTGTTCTAGGTCCGTACAACGGACCATTATTTTAGCACCTGTTACGATAATTTGCGGCCGCTTTGAAAAAAAGCGGAACTTTTGCTAGAGGACTTTAAGCTTAGGGGGGCCCGGCTTGGGCGAAGAAGTCGCCCTTGGATCAGCGACTTCGCCTAAAATAAAACTTTCAAAAGAGATTTTGAAGTCGCCCGTTTTTTTTTATGATTCTGTCATACTTATTTACACCGCTAGGTTCTGTTAACAATTTGTTTAAACCTCTCCAATTTAACAAAACCAATTTTACCATTAATCCGCTAGTTAAAACCGTGTCAACATTTAACAAAGTTCTTATACACGCCGCAAGGCAAAAGCTCACTATGTATATCTTTCTCATTATTGTATCATAAGATTTGAGAAATCAGAAACGCGGCATTTAATCTACGGCAGTGTGCATTGACCAATCGGCCGACACACTAATAACACTGTGGCTGTTTGTTGACAATTACACAAAATGGCCCACAGATTCAATCAATTTTCGCCGATTGAGTGATTAAAGACATCTGCATTATACATAAATTGCTGCGGTGTTTTGGGCGGAGTAAAGATAACAATGCCCAACGTCTTAAAAAGGTGTGGTTTTGTTTCGAAACCCCGATTGTTAAAAATTTTTTCGGAGCACTTATCTTGTAGAAAATTATGTGAAGAGTTGTATCTAATGTTTTATTAATACATTGAACTCCGTAAGTAAAACAGGCTGATTTTTATGATTACAAAATTAAATGTCTCAACATCTCATTAGTAAAATTTGAAATCAAACATTTTTTTACAAACAGATTTATACCATACAATAAAAAAAACTTACATTTTTAATCAACAATATGTAACTTTAAAATACAGTGAAATTGAGAAAACGGATGCTGAGAAAATCGGAACTCTCTTAATACCGGAACGAATAATTTAGTCCCAAATTTTCCCTTCTTTTAAACTATTGTATTAAACATTGACAATACCGGAATCTGTAACAAGAGCTGTCACAGGAGACAGCCAAGCTCGACTAATAAAATACTGGACGCCAGTAAGGAGGACAAAACTATAAAGAAAAACCACAATTATGTATAATTATGTATTAAGTTATTAAGTAAAAAAAATATCATTTTTTAAAATTAATTCCAAGATCAAGGGGAATAATTCTAGAAAAAGTATGCTAAGAGTTATGAACCTTTCACACAACATGTGTGTTAATGATAAGAAATATATATTTGAAGTTTGAAGTAGATACCTTAAAAAGTTTAAAGAAGTTTATAAATATTTCTTAAAGAAAATCCTAAGTTCAAAGAAAGATAAATCTGTAAATATTGCCTTCAAGAGTTACGAACATTGTCACATTAAAATGTAATTGATGATAAGGAATAGTATTTGAAGTCTGAGGTAAGATACCTTTTTAAAACTAAAAAAGTTTTTAGTAAAAAATAACATTTTTTCTTAGTTTTAAAAAAATCTAAGTTTTATGGGGAGATAATTCTTGCAAATATTAGAGTGCTAGAGTTATGAACCTTGCTACATAAGATGTTTGGATGATGATAAGTTACATATATTTTTGAAGTATGAAGTTGATCCCTTTAGAAATAAATAAGTAACAGTAAAAAAATAATATTTTTTAAGGGAAAATTCTAAGTTCAAGGGGAGATAAATCTGACAATATTGGTGCTGAGTTTATGAACCTTGTCACTAAGATGGGGATGATGATAAGGTACATATATTTGAAGTATGAGGTTGATCCTTAAGAAATAAAGAAGTAACAGTAAAAAATAGTATTTTTGAGGAAAATTCTAAAGTTCAAGGGGAGATAAATCTGAAAATATTTGTGCTAGAGTTATGAACCTTGTCACATAAGATGGGGATGATGATAAGGTACATATATTTGAAGTATGAGGTTGATCCCTTAAGAAATAAAGAAGTAACAGTAAAAAAATAGTATTTTTTTAAGGAAAATTCTAAGTTCAAGGGGAGATAAATCTGAAAATATTGGTGCTAGAGTTATGAACCTTGTCACATAAGATGTGGTTGATGATAAGGAACATATATTTGAAGTTTGAAGTTGATACTTTAAGAAATGACAAAGTTATAGTGAAAAATATTTTACTGCACCAAAACTTTAATCTGAATTCTGGACGCGGACGTGGACGCCGGGGCGAGTAGGACAGCTCTCCATATACTTCGTATAGTTGAGCTAAAAACCGAATATCGGACGGTTGATTGGGGACTACAAAGTCAATTATATAGACAATTACCCTGACAATACAGGACGCCGAATGTGTGAATAACATTGTGTATTTATCAATTTGCTGATACGTTAACTGAGCGGTAATGGAACAATGATTGTCTGATTTGTTTATAATGTCTCTTTTCACAGTTTGATTTATTGAAAGGTATAGATGTTACCATTTTATATAAATGCCAAAATGCACGAGGAATTGATCAGTTAAAATCAGTATGAATTACAAATAGAGTATTTTTCTACTGTGTTGCTTTTTGTATATTCATTTCCTAAAATGACAACGCAACGGAAACGACATTTATCGGCGCTAAGTTCTATTCCATGGCCAAAAAGAATTCGACTAGAGCTGTCTACAAGTGACAAAGTTGAATTAATTAAAGACAGTGAAACTTTGCCGAGACCTACTATAAAAATCTGACCAATATGTTATTATTATAAACAAAAAAAGTAAACTGTGTTCGTTAAATCATTACCCATTACCCAAATGTAAACATATGCAGATGTACTCGGACTTGATCGTTATGAGGTAACTGCTGTTCATTTAAATCCAAACTTTGATTGTATTTATATGCAATAATGGGACAAAAACAATTAAAACATATTTTCTTGTATTTTTATCATTTCTTTATTTAGCAATATACGTACACATGATCATGAAAATGCAAATATACAGCATCCTTTGTAAGTCATTGCTCGGTTATAATATAAGATCCTGAACAGCTGAAGGGGACATTGAGAATACCGGACCCCTGAGAAAACCGGACAAAACCCTCAGTCCAAAAGCCGTCCGGTTTTCTCAACTTTCACTGTACTAGAACAATGGTGTAGTTTATAGTCTTCACCAATTATACATGCAATTTTAATACTGTCCAGTTTTTTATAAATGATATTTGGTACGTTTAATATCGATATAAAATATAATTAAACCCTAAGTATGGTACTATCCTGCTTTTCAACAAAATATTGGTATGATATGTTCATATATCCGAATTATGTAGAGACTGTCCACAGTGACTCCCTGTCTATAATGACCTTTTTTCTTTTCTCCCATCGAAGGTCACTGTAAACAGTTTTTACTGTATACTCTGGAGAAGGAAAATGCAACGGACAGCTGGACCGACCGACCAACCAACCACCGGGTGACTCCTATATACCCCCCAAACTTCTTTTCGGGGTTATAACTAAGTTCACTTGTCATGTGTATTGTAACACTTTGCCCTATACTGTGAGGGTGTATACTGGATTGATATTTCTGTTGCTATGAATTGACCTTTATCTTTACAAGACATTGATTGTTTATTTAAAATTACAAAGCATCAATAACAGTGAAAGGTTTAGAGTAATCGAACATTGAATAAGACAAGATAATATTTAACAAGGGCAACATTGTTGCAAAAAATGCCCGTCACAAAAACTTTTGACAGAGATGTGGGCATTATAGATATGCATATAGTAGATATGCTCTAGGCAATATCCCAACAATATCTGGATATTTATCATCTCTAGTGACCTTGACCTTGCAAATATTAACATAAATTACACTTATCACACTTAAGTCATGATAGTTATCATTTGTGTTACAATGCATCAATAAATGATGAATAAATGGTCCCTGACATATCTTCTGTTTCATCTTAACTTTTACCACTCTATGTGAGCAGGGACCTGGATTACAAGCAAAATACTAAGTCTCACAATGGTGACAATTGTGCCAAGTTAAATCCGCCAATGAATGTAGAAAATTTGCTCTGAACAAGCATTTTTCAATGACCTCAAAGTGTGACCTTAACCTTTAACCTAGGGACCTGGTTCATGCACGTGACACTGCTTCTCATAGTTGAAAACATGTCTATGAAGTATCATTAGAATCCCACCACACCAAACGTTACGACAATATGCCAAAACTTTCTATTGTAAATTAGTTGGACAATCTTTAAGGGGATCAGTGCAAGGTGATCTTAACTTTTGACCTCAAAATTATAGGTCACTTACTAGTCAGAACTAACCTCCATTCTTAATCTTAGAACTGTAGGCCAAAGCTGTCTTGTTAATGGTCCGACAAACATTTAAAGGCCAAGGCCATGGTGACCCTGACCTCTGACTATAATTATACAATTACCTTTTGGCAGCAAAAGGGTTAAAGAATTGAGTGACTGACATGTCTGTATAAGATTGTTCTACACTTACTACTATCTATTCCAAGGCAAGCTGTTTCCATTAGCAACACTTTAAGGCATGAATCAATAATAGTTTCAGAATCTTCTAATTTTTGTATTTCTCTAATCATTTGATCATTCATATGATGCCTAAAGAACCACTTCCAATGTTCAGCATCCCAATTACCAGCACCACAAAGCAGCTGAAAAATAATATCCAAGATAACAATGCTCAAAGATGACACAGCAAAAGTTACCACAAATAATTTAATTATTATTTGTAACTGTTTTTGTCTCAGTGTTCTTGATAACATCTACTATATCAAAAGTGAAAATGTTAATGCAAGATACTTTGAAACTAAGTACATGTATAACTCAATATTTCAAAACAGATAATGACTACATAAATAAAAGAAAACAAAGAAATTTGTGACTAATTTTGTTTCAATCAATCTCACATCTAATCCAAAGTTTGATCTCTAGCAAGTTTCATCAAATTAGACACAAATGTTTTTAGTAGAGAAACTATGGAAAACAATAAAACAACTGACAAATAACAGATGACAAAATTTAACGATATTTTTAAAACTCACCAAGACCTCTGTTACCTAAAGAGCTAAAAAGACAAAAGTTTTCAATTTGAAATACTTGTCCACTTACTTGTTTTTTATACATTTTAAATGTTTGCACAGCATGTAAGGTAGTCATTAATCTTAGACTACATTGTAAGTTTTCCGTCCCACTCAACAATAGGCTTACACTTTGATATAAACAAGAGTTGTCGTCCCCACTTGACCGATATGCTTGAAACTCTTGCGGTGTATTCCTGCAAACAAATAAAAGTTATATTACTTGGTTTAAACATATTTGTTGTAAAGATATATATGCATGTTGATAATTGACATATAAAAACAAAAAGGAATTGGACCAAGAGCTGCATTAGCTCATGGTAGTCCCCTCCTTATTAATATATTACAATGTACTTGTAAAATGAGTTAAGTTTTATAAGGTGTACATAACTACTTCCATGTTAAACATATGCAATATTTTTAATAAACCCCGTCCCATAAACATCTAATTTATTTATGTCCTTATTTTCAGTTAAATAAGTAAAATAAAAAATGTGTATGTTTTATTGAAAAATATCTCAACATATTAACTCAGATAACAACTGAATAAATTTAAATACAATTGCATTTCCAGATTTTCTTAAAATAAGTGTTTAACAAAAGAAATTGACCCCATAAATGAAGAAACTTAACTACAATATTCATGTGTATGTTTGAAAGCAGACCTTAATAATTTCTTGGTATGCCAAAACTTATAACAGAATTTTTATGCTACAAATATAGTGTAACATGGCAAGGGTTTAAAACCAAGTTTGCTCCTAAATAATGTGTAACAAGAGGGCCATGATGGCCCTGAGGTCGCTCACCTGTATAAAGGCACCCGGAGCGGGGCCAGTTTAAACCCCAGGGCTTTTATTTGAACAAACTTGGAAGACAACCATTAGAAGATGTTTCACGATGTTAAGTTTTTACTACACACATATAATGAAAAACAACGATCTACCGCTTTTATTTGAACAAACTTGGTAGACACCCATAAGAAGATGTTTCATGCTAAACATCTAAGCTCTAGCTCATTGGGTTTTTTTTAAAAGAAGATTTTTTAAGTTTTTACTATACACATATAGTTAAAATCAATGACACCCCTGGGGCGGGGCCAATTTTGACCCCAGGGCTTTTATTTGAACAAACTTTGTAGACAATTACAAGAATATGTTTCATGCTTAATATTTAAACTCTAGCTCTTTGGGTTCTTTAAAAGAAGATTTTTAAGTTTTTGCTATACAAATATAAGGAAAATCAATAACACCCGGTGCGGGGCCAATTTGACTCCAGGACTTTTATTTGAACAAACTTTGTAGACACTCATTAGAAGATGTTTCATGTTAAATATCTTAGCTCTAGCTCTTTGGGTTCTTTAAAAGAAGATTTTTAAAGTTTTTACTATATGCATATAGGGAAAATCAATGACCCCCTGGGGCGGGGCCAATTTTGACCCCAGGCTTTTATTTGAACAAACTTTGTAGACACTCATTAGAAGATGTTTCATGTTAAATATCTTAGCTCTAGCTCTTTGGGTTCTTTAAATGAATATTTTTAAAGTTTTTGCTATACACATATAAGGAAAATCAATGACCCCCCGGGCAGGGCCAATTTTGACCACAAGGCTTTTATTTGAACAAACTTGGTAAACACCCATTAGAGGATGTTTCATGCTAAAGATCTTAGCTCAAGCTCTTTGAGTTCTTTAAAAGAAGATTTTTTAAGTTTTTACTATATACATTTTGAGAAAATCAATGACCCCCTAGGGCGAGGACAATTTTGACCCCAGGGCTTTTATTTGAACAAACTTGGTAGAGACTCATTAGAAGATGTTTCATGCTAAATATCTTAGCTCTAGCTCTTTGGGTTCTTTAAAAGAAGATATTTTAAGTTTTTACTATATGCATATAGGGAAAACAAGATTGCATTTGAGAAAAATGCTATGCCACCGCATTAATACAACACTAAATAGTAGTGTTGGAACAGATTTTTTTTTGTTTCTATACAATTTTGAAGATTGTCATAATGCATAGATCCCTGACCTATCTTATTCTTATTATCAGATTAGTGGTTAAATCTGTTGTTAACTCAATAAAAGATCAGAGTAGGAATATATCAATGCACTCGAGTCTAGTGAATTTGGTGATGAAGGTCATATTTCACACAGCCTAAATTTCATGACTACATCAAAGAACAGTAAGACACTTTGTCAAAATCTAGGTCAGCTGAAATCAAAGTTCACTTTACGTCTTAATCTGTGCACATGGTTCAAATTTCATAGCTGTACATCAAAGGACAAGAAAGTAGGTCACATCATCAAAATCTAGGTCACCTGATATCAAAATTCAATTTTACAACTAAAACTGTGCACATGGTCAAAATTTCATTGCTGTACATCAAAGGACAAGAAAGTAGGTCACTGTCCCCTTGGGCAAGGCAAAATTTTGGACCCAAGGGTTTAATTCAAAACAATCTTGATACAGGTCCACTGAACAACATTTCAAGTCAAATATCTAAGCTGTAGCTTTCTCCCATTCAGAAAACATTTGTTTTATTTTCTGTTTTTACTATGTGTACATAATGAGAATCACTGCCCCCGGGCAGGGCCAATTTTGACACCAGGGGAATAATTTGAACAACTTTGGAAGAGGACCTATAGATGATATAATATAGCAAACATCGAAGCTCTATGCCTTGTACCTTCAGATAAAATATATTTTTTTATTTTTTTTACTATATATATATATATGTATATATATATACATATAAGGAAAGCCTATGGCCCCCTGGGCGGGGCTAATTTTGACACTAGAGGCAAAATTTGAACAACTTTGGTAGAGTTCCTATAGATGATATCATTTAAAAAATATTTAAGCTCTAATAAAGACAATAAGATTTTTTACTATAAGTATATATTGAAGATACATATAAGGAAAACTAATGACCCCCCGGCGGGCCGATTTTGACCCCAGGGCTATAATTTGAATAGTCTGGGTAGAGGTCTACCAGACAATGCCTTATGCAAAATATCTAAGCTCTAGGCCTTTTGGGTCTTTGGAAGAAGGTATTTTAAGTTTTTACTATATGTACATATAGTGAAAAGCAATGACCCCGGGGCGGGGCCGATTTTGACCCCAGGGCTATAATTTGAACAATCTTGGTAGAGGTCTACCAGACAATGCCTTATGCAAAAAATCTAAGCTCTAGGCCTTTTCGGTCTTTACAAGAAGGTTTTTTAAGTTTTTACTATATGTACATATAGTGAAAATCAATGACCCCCGGGGCGGGGCCGATTTTGACCCAAGGGCTTTAATTTGAACAATCTTGGTAGAGGTCTACCAGACAATGCCTTATGCAAAATATCTAAGCTCTAGGCCTTTTGGGTCTTTACAAGAAGATTTTTTAAATTTATTCTTATAATTCCTTTTGGTTGCCATGGCAACCATATTTCTGCATGGAATGAAATTCTTTGAACAACTTTGGAACCCCTTCACCCAAGGATCAACCCTGCCAAGTTTGGTTGAAATTGGACTAGTGGTTTTTCACAAGAAGATTTTTTAAGTTCACTATATAATCTATATAACACACACACACACAAACAAACACACACACACACACACAGGTGAATCGCTATATGCCACCGCATCGCAGATGCTGCGGTGGCATAATAAAAGATCCCCTGGGGCGGGGCCAATTTTGACTCAAGGGCTTTTGTTTGAACAAACTTGGTGGACACTCATTAGAAGATGTTTCATGCCAAATATCTAAGCTCTAGCTCTTAGGTTTTTTAAAAGAAGATATTTAAAGTTTTTCTTTCGGTTGCCATGGCAACCAGAGTTCTGCATGGAATTAAAGTCTTTGAACAATTTTTAAAGGTGACCATTAAAGGAACATTCCTGTGAAGTTTAGATGAAATTGGCTATGTGGTTTATGAGGAGATGTCATTTAAAGTAAAAGTTTACGGACAGACGCCGTACGGACACCGAACGAAAAGGGATCACAAAAGCTCACCCTGTCACTTTGTGACAGGTGGGCTAAAAACATTAAAAAGACAAATATAATATTTCAGTAGTGTAATAAAGCTGAATGCCACCAGTTTGAAGTTTATTTTTTATAAAAACTTATTCTGATGAGTAAACAATAGCCCTGGTGGCCATTTTGTGCAGGGTAACAGAACATGACAGCTATATACACACCTTTGTATGGTACTGAACACTCCTGTTTAGTTTGATAGAAAGAAGAAATCTCTTCCCCAGGAGTTTGATCTGTGAAAGCCAGAGATAGACAGCAAAGGCAAAAGCAATATATCTCCCAAATTTCTTGGGAAATATAATGACTAAGTATGACCTTGACCTGAGAAAGTTCAAACCTGCACTTTGCACATTGTCTCATTATGGTTAATATTTCTGTCTTAGTTTAAATTTCATTCAGTTCAATAGATACAGAACAGACACGACAATTGGTGGTTTAGGACAACATGTTCTTTAAAAAAATTGTGGAACGATACATGTAGATGGCAGACAAACTGCCATGACAAAATATCATCTCTCAGCACTTTGTACTCTGATGAGCTAAAATAACAGAATGGCATTAATATGTTCCTTATAAAAACATCACTCACTCCCCTAGAACTGTTTCTTTCAAGTATTTGAATCAATGATTCCAAAGATAAGAAAAAAATAAACAAACTCTGAAATGAAAACTTTTCTGTAAAATTTCATATAAATCATAAAAAGTGTTTTTTGTAGACACTTACTCATACTGTATAGATTCTGGAAGAGATTTCACAAGTTGAGGTGGAAGCAGTGTCTCTGCAGTTAATTCTGGTCGTTTCTTCTTTATTTCATCACACTTTTCAACAAATATCTCAAAATTTTCTGTAATGGCTTTCCGATCATAATCAACCATTTTAATTGTTACAAATTCCTTTAAATCTTTCATGCACATCTGAAATGAGAGATGATATCAATTGTTGCTTTAACAAAATATTCTTTTATTATGTTTTTCTGCTTTGCTTCTAAAAAATCACAGTTAAAAATATCTTTCTCTCAAACTTTATAATTTTAGCAATGCAACGTGTTTCATTTGGGTTTATTTAAACATGTATATGACATTATGTCAATGAATCAAATTTTACTATTTATAACAATTTAAATATATGCTTCAAAATATGAAAACAAAGCAATTATCATAGTATTGCAAGCAATCCATAAGTCCCCTACCGGTTAGAACCCCTTCAACATTCTGAAGGGCCATTGGCCATTCACTAGTGTTTCAATTTTTCTCTATTTTAAGTAAATTTGTTGGAAAAGTTCTTTAAAAGTGATCAGAGGAAACAGTTTTTATGAACAGACAGACAGACGGACTGAAGGACACTCTAAAGTTAAATATTTGAAACATCCCTGTTACCAAAATATAACATTTTAAAAGCAAAATTCTTAAAGAGGAGATGACTCTTGAATTAAAGATGCGATTTCATAAAAATTTTCAGCTCTTTTTGACTAATCACAAATATTGTTATATTTGCCATGTTTTAAGCCTATTTGTTGCCTTATTTGTTGCCAAGGCAACTGATATTTTTTCAAAATAGGAAGAACAGATAAGACATGCAAAATCTCAAGACTGCTATCTACCCATATGTCAAGTTTCATAAAAATATTTCCAGTACTTTTTGAGTTATCACTGGATTCAGTTTATGTGTAAAATTTGCCATATTTTTAGTCTATGTATTGCCATAGCAACCAGAATTTTCAACATAGGAAGAAAAGAAAAAAACGTGCATTCCTGTACGAAAAATCAGCATGGATTTTATGTAAAACAGGAAC